AGGTTGCGGCCACATGACACAAGTGACTGTTGAGGGGCACCAGCTGCGGTAGGCCTTGTGAACGAAAGACGGGGGCCCCTGACACGGATCACACGTCCTTTCAAACTGCCCCAAAGCACCATCAATTGTCCAGTCAAGACTCCTCCGAAGCCCAGACTCGACTCCTGCCTCAATGGAATGGCCGAAGTCCTGTGTTCCTGTGCAACTCAGACAGACGCATCTGCGGAGTTGTACCGGCTAAGACACTTCTGCCCCGTTGCGTGGTGTGGGTTTCACTTTGGTGTTTGTGGGGTTGACATCTTGCTCCAGAACGGAAGGAGGTGGTCGCAAGGCGGCTTGCAGGCCATCGAGTGCTCCGCTGGATTTTGAGCGCTGGCATCAGGCACCTCAACGCCCGGTGCCCGAGAGATAATGGGTGTGGCTCAAAATTGGACAGGAGGGGTGACGCAAAATTTGGTCCATGTTTTCACTTGCCAGGGTTCATTTGTTGGTACTTATTTTTTTGGGGGGGGGAGCCACAGCCTAATATTCGACATGAAAGGAGCCCCTGTTGATTAGGGGTGTTCTCCCATGGGGAGGCCGACAAAGATATAAGGTGTGTTTGGCCCTTGGTTTTGACATGGAGGTTCTTCATTTCCAAATTGTGCAAGTCATAAACAAGGGTCTCATCTTGTTGCGCATCATTTTCAAGCCGCTCAACTGTGTCGTCATTTGCTTTAGTTTGCTTGAGTTTGTTTTCAAACATGCATCTTGCAGCAGCTTTGCCTGCGTCTGTGAAACTCACTACGGCTCAAGCCTATTTTGTCAAAAGCCGACCCAAGCGGACAGCACGTTTCGGGCATTATGCAGGAATTGCTTGATCAACTCTGCTCTGGATCCTTGTTCCAGAACGATGATCATGTTGGTGGCATTGGCAACATCCAGGATGCCTTCGAAGAAATTGATGGCATCCATGGAATCCACGACCTAATGCACCCGACATGCGACAGTCTGCCTGACATGCGCAGTGGCAACCCCAAGACGAAGAGAGACTACATTGTCAGCAAACACCGTCGCAAGATGGCCCTGGCACGAGCCCAGGTGCATTTGTTCTTGCAGCAAAATGGCTTTGACCCTGGAAATGTGAACTCCAAGAAGACCAGCAAGTTAGGCCTTTGCTGCACCTTTCCTCTACAGAGTGCAGTGCAGCAGAAGAACAAGAGGATGGTGGTGCTGCTTCTTCGCTTCGGTGCCGACGCTTGGCGCCGGGACACATTCGGGCGTAGTGCCTATGACATGGCTTCGGAAGAGGTTAGGAGCATCTTCAAAAAGTTCGCGGCGAGGACGCGGCTGGAAAGGAACCGTCCTCCTGCTGGCTTCGAGAACTTCTTTGCGAAGATCGCCAAGGATCCCCTGGCGAATCCTCGCAGGAGTTGTGCCTGAGCCTCGCCTTTGCGTGTCCTGGATTCGTAGATTGATTCGTGGGTTGCTTTGCCTTCAGTTGAGTTGTGGGGATCAAAGTCAGAGGTTTGAATGTTTCGTTCTGGTCAGCCATGGTTATATGCTTTCCACCTCAATTCAGCCATGCAGACGGCCAAGACAAGATCCGGCCCGCGAGCACTTTCTCTTTTTGGGCTTAACTCCGTCATGACTACCATGATGGGCTGCCCAGCGTGTGTCTTTGCCATGCATATTGGCAGAGCAGAGCGTGCCACGAATTCACCTTGCAAGAGATCACAGCGGAAGCGCCTCAGCAAAAAGAGCAGCTCCGAAAAGCTGCGATTGTCAAGTGCAGTACTTTCTGACGTGTGAGGCAGGCCTCCTGCCTTCTTGCACTCCCGTTTGCAAGTGCGCGTGATGTTTGCGCTTGTCCTTTGCCTGGCTTGCTGGCGGAACAGCACTTGCAAGTACTGCCTTTTCCCATTGGCTTCTCCCAACCGAGGAGCTGGTGACAATACATGTCCATCCATACTATGGACTCTTTTTGTGCCAGATTTCCATGTGGCACCTGAGCGATTGATTGCCCTGGGCCGTAATGATGACTGACAGCTTCGACACCTTGAATTCAGGGGGAGTTTGAAGAAATAGCCACACATGATGTGCCACATGCAGCTGTTGGCAGCACATGAGAAAACAAACACACACACACACAAAGTGGCCGAGGAAAACCTAAGAATGTTGTGTAGTTCAGGGCCGCGCTCATTTTTTACTCTGCCGGCATTCGGTTTCAGGCTTCAACATGTTGCCTTTGATTCGGGCTTGAAAAGTCCGGGTGACGAAGGCTACCCCACAGAGTGGAGCAAATCAAAGCACCAGTATTCTAAGAACATAACACACCGGTGGACTTGGCATTCAGGCTCGATGGATTCTCCATCTCCGAGGGGTATCCTGCACCGACAATAGATTTCCACTAGGCGCTCCATGGGGCGTCTCATGCTCAGCTTGCCCGTCATGGGAGCAACTAGACTGTGTCGGTCGATGGATTTAGCAGGCGAGCGTATACCTTTCCATTTCTGCCAGCCACTGCTCATGAGTCGGTCTCTGGGCCTGTTCAGCGCGACGCTTGCTGACCTTTAACGCCATAGGCTTGCACCTACAACCCGCATGTTTCTCCACTGTTTTCAGCGTGCATTTGTTGCGCCGCAGGGTGCCCAGGAGGCGCGAAACTTCGCTGGCTTTCCGAAATGCTTTGCCCCCTTCAGGGCACGATAAATGCTTCGCTTGGGCGACCAGCGTCAAGCTTCTCAGATTCGATTTGCATGGACGCCCCCCTTCCCTTCAGGAGAGACTTCGATTCAGATGCAATGGTGGTTGAACCTGGGGATCAACCCTGACAGCCCACTCAAAACAGGCAACCCAAAGTGTTTCCAGATCGCCTGCTAGGGGAGAGATTTGCAACACGTTAAACACGCCTGCCCTGCAGTGAATTGGAACTGGGGCAGGGTTGCGGCCTGTCTTACATCTCGTGCACAGTGCTGTTCTAGCGCCTTTTCTATGACCAAGGGCACTTGTTTCTGATTCACGGATGCGCGTTAACAGCATTGTGCCAGCTTTGGTCCGTGATGGCCCTGAGCCTTCTTAGGGAAATCCACATTGCCCATTGTGGCCATGCTGTTACCCTAAGGAAGCCCCTCGGACCCTTTGTTCCTCGCTGGCCTGGTTGGCTTGCAGTCTGAACATGCCTTTCTGACACACGGGGTCGTCCCCGTCGTGTTGTGATAGAGTCGACGTTGACTCCAGCACAAGTACATGCACAATGCGAGGGAGAAGCTCTGCCAACCGGATGTTCACCACATGTTGAGTGATGTTGGGCATCGCACTGTAGATTGATTCGAGTGTCCACTTAAGCCTTGTATGCTTCTGGGCGGACCCTCGACTGAGTGGAACAGCGTGCAGATGCATTTCCTAAGCGCACAATACACTGCTGCACCTTGAACAGCGCGTTGTCACCAAGTATCTCGCGAGATCGATGTTCGCAGTACACTCTTTTCAAGACATAATGTTGGGTGTTTGTCTTTTGCCACACTTTTGCGTGAAGACGGCCCTTTTCAGACCTCGGCCGTCCTTCTGCGTTTGATACATTTGGTGGCCGATTCTGGTGCCTGGGATCCTTCCGTGCAGCTTTGCAGCGAGAAAATGGTCGCAGTTGGATATGCTCACTTCCTGAGTTCCTGGACTTAAGTCACATTTTGGGATTAGTGGCAAGCCAAGAAGTTTGGGGACTTTTTTTCGCAAAAGGTCATCCACTCGGGAAGTGAGTTTGTGACGTTTTGTGCCCATCCATGGTGCCGGACTTTGGTCCAGTCGGAACCAGCTGACTCAGTCCCACTTTCTGGGTCTCGGCTTGGAACCTGATGCGCTTGAATCAATGTTCCAAATTTGGCGGACGCAGGCCACCAAAAATCAGCTTTCTCAAAGAGGCGGCTCGGGGCATTTGAGTTTTGGATCGGCTTGCAAAAAACCGAGGCGCTGGCAGCTGGCGCCGAGCTTTTGCGCATCGGGCCGGGGCAGCTGGGCATGCCGTGGCGGTGTGAATCAACTGGAATGAATGCCGGATGTGGGCAGATGCCGGGCTTGCTTTCAAAGGAAACCTTAAAGCTTCTCTGGTTCGGAGATTCCCGCCAGATCGTTCAAAAGCGTGCGGCCTGCATGGCCCGACGTGCCGGTGCCGGCCTCAGACTACCGCCCGAGCTCGGAAGCATTACATCGTTCCCCCATTGCATTTGATGCAACCTGTTTCGCGTGATGCTTTTGCCACGGTGCCACGGTGCAGTGGTTGTTCATCGCTGCCCAAAAGATTGCTTGAAGTCAGGTCAAAACAGGAAGGGCCCCAGACTGTTGGTTAGCCGGACTGGCACGCTGACAAGCGCTGTCAACCCGCCAGCGCGCAACGCAGCTGCTTGGCTGGAACTCAGCGGATTTCAGCTGTGGCGCAGCGAATTTTTGTGCGCCTTGGCTGCCTACATCCATTTGCGTGTCTCTTTCACTCACTCTCTCTTTCTCTCTCTCTCTCGCTCTGTTTCTCTCTCTCTCTCTCTCGCTCTGTTTCTCTCTCCTCTCTCTTTATTCTTCTGGTTCTTGATGTTCTTGTTGTTTTTTTCGGCGTTCTTTCTTTTTTTTCTTTTCTACTATAAAAGGACTTGCCACATTGACAGTGTTGGTGTAGACCGCTCCCATCCACCGCTCCATCCACAGTGCATGCCCAAACGGACACTTGCAAAAGAACAAAGAGAGCGAGAGAGAGAAAGAAAAACCAAAAGAAAGAAAGAACGACAGAACGATCGAAAGAGAGGGGCGAGAGAGTTAACGTGTGCTTCTAAGTGTCTTGACATTGTCTTAATGACATCGAATTTGCAGAGATTCCAGCACCTCAATTGCAACAAGTTTGTGAGCTATGCAACCTTTCCGTTTGAAAGCGCAAGCGTTTCTTGGGCGAATGCCAATCAATGCCTGTCTAGATGAAGTAAGTCTAAACCATAGCATCAGGTTTTGATGCCGTGACCCACGTGCATCGCCAGGATATGGCAGATTTGCCCGCAGTCCTCGGGAAGCCTTTCCAAGCTGGGCTAGAAAGGTACTGCCGAGTTGAACCGCCGCCGCTCGCCAGCGAGTTGGGCCTCACTTTGAAATGCTTTCCCCCTGGATGCTAGAACAAGTGGGCTTCCGCCTGACAAGCGAAGCACGATCAACATCGCAATGCGCTTCAAGTACTGGAGGCGAACGAACTGATTAAACTGGGTAGTGTTTATTCTTGCATTTCAAAGTTGCAATCGCATAGCATGAGTTGTGCAATTTTATCTTGAAACTTCTTGGAGGGACAGCTAACAAGACACCCGGGTAGGGTTCTGCGCCTAAGACCGGAATCTCGGTTTTGCGTGGTGATTGATTGGACAGCTCCTCCTTCCAATGGAGAAAGCCAACGCTGTTCGAAGTTGCAGGGCCCCAATTCGGTTCACCGCTGGCCCCCTCCGCCCCGAGGCTGCGCAAGGAGGAGCTGAAGGAGCTGAAGGCGCTGCTGGAGTCCAAGGGGACCTTGGACATCGGCAACCTGCCCGAGGGATCTTGATCTTGAGCCCGGCTGGGCGAACGGTTTACGGGAGGGGAGATGAGGGGGAGCATGTTTTTTGTGGTTTGGGAGATGGGAGGGTGGTCAGGCAAAACAGCGCAGGGGGAGGGAAGTATGTTGTATGCTGCGCCGTGCCAGCAAGGATGTCATTGTTGAGAACAAATGATTCCACAAAAAATTACCAGCCATCCTGGTGGTTCGTTTGGAGCAGGGGGCAGGGGTGGGGGGAAACGCGCAGCTTCGCCTCGTCAAGAATGATGCTTATTCGGATCCACTAAGACCATGGATTGCTCTGAGGCAAAGCCAAGTGCTTGGGCAAGGACATCGGGATGAAAATGGGAGTGCCGGCGCGGTTTTCGTCTAAACACCGTGCGCCATTGGCTTCAGTCAATGGACTTGGTCAGTAGGGGATTGTAGAGATACGAAGGGACCGACCTTGAACGCCATCTCCACAAGGAGGTTTGATCAGATGCAGGGCAGGTATGTGAAGCATGCTTGCAACGTGTTGCATCCACCGGAGAGGGGGGGGGTAGCTGCACTTGCAAGAGGCACAGTAGCGCACGTGTGCAAATGCGTTTCACACTTTGTTTTTGTGGAACACTTGCTTTGCGGCGCTTCATCGATCTGCACGCTTGGGTGGGTTCCGGGCGGGGGAGGGGGGGGGGGGTTGGGGGGACTATTTTCGCGTTGGTCGCCTGCGAAACATCGTTTGGCATCGCACTGGCCCTTACTTTGCCAATGCGCAAGTTTGCGGATAGTTGTTCACGGACCCTACGTTGTCTCGACAGATGCGTTTCAGACTGAGGGGCGTTGGGGAAGCTGGATGTGATTGAGCCCGTTTGCGAGCTGGCCGCGCGAGCATCATTGGTTGGCAGTGCAAGGCTAGCTTCATCCTTCATAATTACGAAGCGCGGATACCCCCCTTTGTTGATCCAATGTGTTGGTTCACATTGCTCTCTCGCGAAAGCGTGATTTTGACCTCCAAAGGATCACACCATATCAACCCACTGGGCTGCTGACAGGCAGAACTTCAGAGCGTGACAGCGTGGCAGTGCCGATTTGGAAATCTTGATGCATGGAGGCCCGCGCTTAGCTTTTTCCAAGGATGCGGAAAGCTCGCAGCCATATGAAACTGCCAAATGAGGTTGAGTGGCGCCAACACAGAACGCATGTTCCCAGAACAAAATGCGCACAACTTGCGGAAAAGAGGCAGAATAAGCGGCAGCCATCACTTGTGACACAAGTCAACGACCCAGCCAGCTACTTTGTCTAAACAGGGGCTCCCCCTGCCTGAGGGTAACCTGGTACTTTTAAAGAGGCAACAAAGGACCCCTTTCAACAAAAGCAACCCTCAAATTGATGCCAGAAGACTTAGTTTGTTTACATTTTATTGATAAACTATCAAATGGTACAAACATATAACTGAAACAAAACAGACCCTTTAAGCCAACCTCCACTCCAAGCTTCCTACCTTGGGGCCCAGCGGGTGGCTCGGTCGCGGCCGATGCCGCAAGCGCTGAGCCCAGAGCTGGCGCGGAGACTGCAGCTGGCCCCGGCGCTGAAAGGGCGCGAGAGGACGCGCGCGTTGGGTTTCCGGGAGTTCCGTTTCTTGAGTCTGCACTCGTGGTTGTTGTTGGGAAACATTTTGCATTTTTGCTTGTTGTGGTTTAGTGGGAAATCGCCACTTAGCTGCTAAAATTTAAATATTTGCGGCCCTTCCAACGTCAACCAAGTCCTGGCGCGCAGTAGGGAATGACCTTCCGGGTTTTGGACATGAACCGGAAGGGGATGCCAGATTCCCTATGCATTACGGGTTGAGAGCTGGGAAGCCCACTGTTTGAACCTAGGATTATAGATCCCGAAAGCCGTTAGCCCTGCTGTCAGCTATGATTCAGATCGCCAACCACTTTCTTGACGGAACATCAAGTGGGCTAGACCCTGAACGAATCAGACCCAAAGGTCAAACCTGGTCCAGACACCCAAGAGGTCGATGGCGGTCGGTGATAATTTCCTAGCACCACACTGCCAACGGGTCTGGCTGGTGGAATTCACAGACGAAAGCCCAAACCATTACTGGAACGATCTTTCAAAAAGAGGGTTACCTTTGGCCCAAGGTCCCGTCACGGCAACGCCACCTTAGACCACCAAACCGCTTGGTTTCAGCCCTCAGGCCTGGCACAGCAGAAGGAAGCGGCCCAACAAGTCTTCCGGCAACATCGCCGCGGACACCGCGCTTGCAGCAAGTTGAGCGGAAGCAGCAAGATGAGGACCTTGATGCGCCTAGCACCAACAGTGCTGCTGCTGCTGCTGCTGCTGCTGCTGCTGCTGCTGGTGGCTGTGTTTTCAGTTGCCTGGGGACGGGGGGAGTGTGTGACTTTTGTTTTTTGTCCCCCCAACAGCTGAAAGCTTTGGGCTCAGCCCAGATAGGGTTCCACCAGGGTTCCACCAGGGTTCCACGAGGTTCTGCGAGGGCTGCGGGGTGGTGCGAGCACTAAAACGAGCACCGCTTGCTGTTGGGGATGTCACCTGAGCTTATTTTCTTTTTGCAAGGGGGTCTGACGGTCCCGTTTCCCCATGAGAGCCTGTCAAGGGGCGCGTGTGCATGTGGCACAAGAATAAAAAGAGATAAAGAACGAAGAACCAAAGAATCAAGGTGTAAACCCAGTTGCGAGGTGTATGACATGTACACTTTGTTGCCGTTTCGGATTAGGGCCCTTGAGCCATAGCTCGTGCAGACAAAAAGGGCTGTGCGCTCTGTTTAGGAATCTTAGGATTCATGGCATTAATCTCACAAAGGAACCAAAGACAAAAAGACAAATACACATAGACGCAAAGAAAAGAAAGAACGATTGAAAGAATCAACACAGAAGAACGAAGGAAAGAAAGAAAGAAGGAAAGAAAGGAAGGAAGGAAACAAAATAGACAGACAAAAGACTGTTTTGCCACGTGCTGTCACTACACATTGCTCCTTGTCCTTTCGACGTTCCTGATTTGCCCGGGCTGGACTGGTGTCCCACCTGCCGCTACATGTTGCCCGGATGTATGCTTTTCTGTTTGCTTAGGTGTTCCATATTGTGGTAGTCAGGCTGGTGAAAGGGCAGCGTTGGCATTTCTGGGAAGCTGTGCCCGCTTGCGGTGCGCCCTCTCTCAAGTTCTCATTGCTTTGCCGCTGTGGCCCCCGGTCGGTTCCAGGCGGCTTTCCCGGGTTGTTTGATTCGCTGTCTTCTGTTATTTTTGTGGATTGTTTAAAGTGTTGAGAGCACCATCGTTTTACCGAGCTTATACTATACAGTGTCAGGTGTGGATCCACAGCCACTACTACGCCAAGGGCGGCCAGAAGAAGAAGGCTTTGACGGCCCTGTCTAAGCATGCGCGAGGAGGTGTGAGTGTACATGAGGTCCCTGAAGTTCAGAAGATCAATGCCTGCACCAGTCGCATCAATGTAAAGCTGGAGTTCTACCGCGACCATGACGAGCAGTTCGACCCCTTGTTGCGAACGGTTGAGGAGGCCTTCATGTGTCAGGCCTGGCGGCCGTGCATTTTGTGCGCTTGGGCGGGACGCCTTGCGCTAGCCTTGAAATTGAAAGTGTGAAGTACGTTTGGCTGAGCGTCGTGCCATGGGCAATGTATTATTAGCAGTATTGCCAGTCTTCTGTGAACATCGTTGGTGCCCCCCCCCAAGGCCCACCCTGCTCTTCCCACCAATGCACAAACCGGATCTCCGAGCCTGCAGGAGTCTGGCACTGGCGAGCCCCTGGTGAACGTGGCGAAGCTGCGCTCGGCCAACCGCCCAAAGAGCCAGGCCTCGAGGAGGCAGAGCGCTGGCAGGCGGGGAAGAACCATGATGTAAGGACTGACATCAGGCGCCCCTCCTCTAGCCCTGCTATGAACGCCTCAGGGATGACCTGCAGTGCCTTTCCTGTCTTTGCATACGTGTTGGTGACTTTCCAAGACGGCCATTTGGAGGCTGCACCCTGGGCCATAGACATGTTGCACCGTATGAGGGCTGTCTGCGGCTATCTGACTGGGCCTCCCACTTTCGCCTTGTCATATGATTCTTGAGCAGCATTGGAGCTTGTGATTGTTGGGCTGTCCAGTGCGTTTTGGGGCAAGACTCCCGCACACGTCTTATCATGTTCAAACCAGCCCTCGGAAAATCCTGGGCCGGTGATTTGGACGGTTCCGCTGGTGTGTCAGAGCCAGAGAGACTGTCATTGAATCCCCCAAGCCACAAGTTTGGGGCTTGATGCAAAAGTCATGTGTATGGGTCAAAATTTAAACCACCAGGGGACCGCAAGTTTTGGTCCATGTTTCCATTTCAGGTGCCTATTTTTGACCCACAGCCATGTGAAGCAAACTTCGCCTTGGGAGGAACCTCCTCACGCCGGACCTGAAGGCCATTGCTGACCGAGACCGGGGGTGCCTGCACCGGGACAGGATCTGCCAAGCGGTGGCCAAGGCCAGGTCAACGAGTAGGAACGGGTTATTCATTGGCAAGTTGCTGGGGGCCCAATGGTCAACCCCATTTGTTGGTTTTCTTTTTCTACTGTTGCCGGGCGCCTGGGGTGTAATTGCTTTGGTAGGCCAGGGGCTCTGTTGGGTTTGCTTGGCAACGGAAGAACTTCCATTTTCAACTAGCATTGCAAAGGGGTCCTTACCCCTGATGCATTTCCAATTGTTCAAACCTTTTCGAGGTGTCTCCAAAGGATGCTCAACAGTTTAGTTGGATCCTTTTGGTTTTTGTCCGAGGCCAAGCTCATGCAGGTGGAAAGGCGCACAGAGCACGCCTGGCGCTTGCACCTCCAGCCACTGGGCTCGGGTTGGGGCCCATTGATGTTTGTTGCTCTTTGGCAGGCCCCCCCTTAAAAAGCCAAAAACCATCCCTTTTGTCCAGCGCCGGACTCGGGGAGGGGAAGCCTGGCACAACCTTTTGCACCAAGATTTGTAGAGGGTAATTAGTTGTGGTTTAGGTGCCCGAGATGTTATTGGCATTCTCTTCGCTAAATTCCCTGGGCTTGATTATGTAGTTCGGGAGGGGTCTCCTCCATACAGATTTTGGAGGCCATTTGCAAGGCAATGCCTGGGCCCCAGACACCTGGAACTCTTGGGCTCTTTGCACTCTCACTTTTGTGACTCCAAAGCAGGGACCAGCGTCTGTGTTTCATTTCTCCCGATTTAAAAGGTCTCAATGTGTAGTTCCCAGTGGCCGCGTTTTTTTTCTCGGGCTTGAGGCAGACGCGGCAGGAGCGCGCACGGCGGGAGCGGCCCTGGCTCAGTCTGGCGGCGGCGGTGGTGGGCCTGGCGGCTCCTTGTCGGATGT